TCAGGGGACACTCAGAGGAGCCCATTCCTGCTGGGCTGTTTGCCTGTGGCTAAACAGAAATGTTCCCCGCTGTTAGCCACAGGGAGGGGAGAAGGTTGAGGGGGTAGTCACGCGGTGGGAGGAGGCAAAATGCGACCTTGTAACGAAAGCACATGTGCTATGTATGTAATGTTAACAGCAAGGTTTACCCTGAAAGAGTGTAGCCACTGTTTTATAAAATATGTCTTTTTAAATACCGCTGTCCCTTTTTTTTTCTCCACCAGCTGCATGTGTTTCAATGATCACAGGATCTTCTCCTTCCCAGAGGCTAGTGAAGCTTAGAAAGAAAAAAAAACGCACTCGCGATGAAATGTTCTCCGAGCTCATGCTGTCCTCCCACACTGACAGAGCACAGACGAATGCGTGGAGACAAATAATGTCAGAGTGCAGGAAAGCACAAAATGACCGGGAGGAGAGGTGGCGGGCTGAAGAGAGTAAGTGGCGGGCTGAAGACAGGGCTGAAGCTCAAATGTGGCGGCAGCGTGATGAGAGGAGGCAGGATTCAATGCTGAGGCTGCTGCAGGACCAAACCAGTATGCTCCAGTGTATGGTTGAGCTGCAGCAAAGGCAGCTGGAGCACAGACTGCCACTGCTGCCCCTCTGTAACCAACCGCCCTCCTCCCCAAGTTCCATAGTCTCCACACCCAGACGCCCAAGAACGCGGTGGGGGGGCCTCCGGCCAACCAGCCACTCCACCACAGAGGATTGCCCAAAAAAAAGAAGGCTGTCATTCAATAAATTTTCAAGTTGTAAACTTTTAAAGTGCTGTGCGGCATTTTCCTTCCCTCCTCCACCACCCCTCCTGGGATACCTTGGTAGTCATCTCCCTGTTTTTGTGATGAATGAATAACGAATGCATGACTGTGAAGCAGCAATGACTTTATTGCCTCTGCAAGCAATGATTAAAGGGAGGAGGGGAGGGTGGTTAGCTTACAGGGAAGTAGAGTGAACCAAGGGGCGGGGGGTTTCATCAAGGAGAAACAAACAGAACTTTCACACCGTAGCCTGGCCAGTCATGAAACTGGTTTTCAAAGCTTCTCTGATGCATACCGCGCCCTCCTGTGCTCTTCTAACCGCCCTGGTGTCTGGCTGCGCGTAACCAGCAGCTAGGTGATTTGCCTCAACCTCCCACCCCGCCATAAACGTCTCCCCCTTACTCTCACAGATATTGTGGAGCACACAGCAAGCAGTAATAACAGTGGGAATATTGGTTTCGCTGAGGTCTAAGCGAGTCAGTAAACTGCGCCAGCGCGCCTTTAAACGTCCAAATGCACATTCTACCACCATTCTGCACTTGCTCAGCCTGTAGTTGAACAGCTCCTGACTACTGTGCAGGCTGCCTGTGTACGGCTTCATGAGCCATGGCATTAAGGGGTAGGCTGGGTCCCCAAGGATACATATAGGCATTTCAACATCCCCAACAGTTATTTTCTGGTCTGGGAATAAAGTCCCTTCCTGCAGCTTTTGAAACAGACCAGAGTTCCTGAAGATGCGAGCATCATGCACCTTTCCCGGCCATCCCACGTTGATGTTGGTGAAACGTCCCTTGTGATCCACCAGAGCTTGCAGCACCATCGAAAAGTACCCCTTGCGGTTTATGTACTCGGCGGCTTGGTGCTCCGGTGCCAAGATAGGGATGTGGGTTCCGTCTATAGCCCCACCACAGTTAGGGAATCCCATTGCAGCAAAGCCATCCACTATGACCTGCACATTTCCCAGGGTCACTACCCTTGATATCAGCAGATCTTTGATTGCGTGGGCTACTTGCATCACAGCAGCCCCCACAGTAGATTTGCCCACTCCAAATTGATTCCCAACTGACCGGTAGCTGTCTGGCGTTGCAAGCTTCCACAGGGCTATCGCCACTCGCTTCTCAACTGTGAGGGCTGCTCTCATCTTGGTATTCATGCGCTTCAGGACAGGGGAAAGCAAGTCACAAAGTTCCATGAAAGTGCCCCTACGCATGCGAAAGTTTCGCAGCCACTGGGAATCGTCCCAGACCTGCAACACTATGCAGTCCCACCAGTCTGTGCTTGTTTCCCGAGCCCAGAATCGGCGTTCCACAGCATGAACCTGCCCCATTAGCACCATGATGCATGCATTGTCAGGGCCCATGCTTTGAGAGAAATCTGTGTCCATGTCCTGATCACTCACGTGACCGCGCTGACGTCGCCTCCTCGCCTGGTATCGCGTTGCCATGTTCTGGTGCTGCATATACTGCTGGATAATGCGTGTGGTGGTTAATGTGCTCCTAATTGCCAAAGTGAGCTGAGCGGCCTCCATGCTTGCCTTGGTATGGCGTCCGCACAGAAAAAAGGCGCGGAACGATTGTCTGCCGTTGCTCTGACGGAGGGAGGGGCGACTGACGACACGGCTTACAGGGTTGGCTTCAGGGAGCTAAAATCAACAAAGGGTGTGCCTGTACATCAAGGAGTATTTCAGGCAGGACTGCACGGAGGGTTCCAATAAGAAATGGTGCACCTAAGTTATCGTTGTTATTGGAACAAGGAGGTTAGCCTGGCCTCTGATTGATACATGGCTAGATTTACCTCGCTGCACCTTCTCTGTGAGTGACTGCAGTGTGACCTAGAGGAATGAGTCCCCTAGACAGGGGAGGAGGCAAATGAGTACAAAACAAATCTGGTCTATTTCTTGTTTTAACCCACTCCATCTATCTTTTACATCTTTGGCTGGCAGCAGACGGTGCAGAAGGACTGCATGCCATCCACATCTCATGGCTGCTCGGCAGAAGATGGTACAGTACGACTGCTAGCCATCCCCATCTCTTGCCTGCATGGCAGAAGATGGTGCAATACGACTGCTAGCAATCCTCATCTCTTGCCTGCCTGGCAGAAGATGGTACAGTACGACTGCTAGCAGTCCGTATCGCCTGCCCGCTCACCATAAGACGGTTCAATAGGACTGACTGCAGGACTAAAGAGAATGACCTGGTCAAGTCACTCCAAATTTAGTCCCTGTGCCCATGTCTGCCCAGGCGCTCCCAGCCGACGTGGCCAGGAGCACCTCGGACACGACGAGGACGACTACCAATCGTATTGCACCGTCTGCTGCCAGAAGGCAATGGGTTGCTGCTACTGTGCAGCAAAACCGTACCGCGTCTGCCAGCACCCAGGAGACATAGGGTGACGGTTACCTGAGCGGGCTCCATGCTTGCTGTGGTATGGCGTCTGCACAGGTAACTCAGGAAAAAAGGCGCGAAATGATTGTCTGCCCTTGCTTTCACGGAGGGAGGGAGGGAACGGGGGCCTGACGACACGTACCCAGAACCACCCGCGACAATGTTTTAGCCCCATCAGAGTGCTCCATTGTGACTGCTCTGGACAGCACTCTCAGATGCCCGATTGTTTGCCATTGCTCTGACGCTGGGAGGGGCGCTTACAGGGTTGGCTTCAGGGAGCTAAAATCAACAAAGGGGGTGGCTTTACATCAAGGAGTATTTCATGCAGGACTTCACGGAGGGTTCCAATAAGAAATGGTGCACCTAAGTTATTGTCCTTATTGGAACAAGAAGGTTAGCCTGGCCTCTGATTGATACATGGCTAGATTTACCTCGCTGCACCTTCTCTGTAAGTGACTGCAGTGTGATCTAGAAGAATGAGTCCCCTAGACAGGGGAGGGGGGGAAGCAAATGAGTACAAAACAAATCTGGTCTATTTCTTGTTTTGATCCACTCCATCTATCTTTTACATCTTTGGCTGGCAGCAGACGGTGCAGAAGGACTGCATGCCATCCACATCTCATGGCTGCTCGGCAGAAGATGGTACAGTACGACTGCTAGCAGTCCGTATCGCCTGCCCGCTCACCATAAGACGGTTCAATAGGACTGACTGCAGGACTAAAGAGAATGACCTGGTCAAGTCACTCCAAATTTAGTCCCTGTGCCCATGTCTGCCCAGGCGCTCCTGATCGACCTCACAGAGGCAACCAGGAGCACCTCAGACATGACGATGACGGCTACCAGTCGTACTGTACCGTCTGCTGCCACAAGGCAAGGGGTTGCTGCTACTGTGTAGCAATGCCGTACCGCGTCTGCCAGCACCCGGGAGACATAGGGTGACGGTTACCTGAGCGGGCTCCATGCTTGCCATGGTATGGCGTCTGCACAGGTAACTCAGGAAAAAAGGCGCGAAATGATTGTCTGCCCTTGCTTTCACGGGGGGAGGGAGGGAACGGGGGGCTGACGATATGTACCCAGAACCACCCGCGACAATGTTTTAGCCCCATCAGGCATTGGGATCTCAACCCAGAATTCCAATGGGCAGCGGAGACTGCGGGAACTGTGGGATAGCTACCCACAGTGCAACGCTCCGGAAGTCGACGCTTGCCTCGGTACTGTGGAAGCGCTCCGCCAAGTTAATGCACTTAGAGCATTTTCTGTGGGGACACACACACTCGAATATATAAAACCGATTTCTAAAAAACCGACTTCTATAAATTCGACCTAATTTCGTAGTGTAGACATACCCTTAGACATTCACGTACAACACCCAGAGTGGCAAACACCTGTCCAGCTTGGTTTCACTGACCGTTGAAAAGGAACTGCTTAGGTACTTGTGCAGCTTACTAGATTTTTATGACTTTGTCACTGAGGAGTTTCTTACAAAAGATAGAAGAATGGATTTTTGATTTCAGTAGGAATGTTAGATATGTATTAGTATAGTCTCAGGTTTCATTATATTTGGCTTACTAGTATTTGGCAAAAAAATGTATTTGGTTTATTAATCACAATCTGTACATTAGAAAAAAATCTTTTTTTCTGTCATCTAAAAAGTTGTTTCATACCTTATTAAAAATGTCATTTGTATGTCACTGGGTAGGCCCATTCTCAAATAGCACATTCTGGGTTTTGTTTTTGATCAGTGGTGGTTTTCTGGTAACTGGCTTTAAAAATAATTTTAAAAATACATATATGTAAAAATATTGTAATACTTTTTTCTTAGGCACTGAAAGTGCGGCAAGCAGATGTCACCCGAGAAACAGTACAGAAAAGTGTCTGTGTTCTAAGTCAGCTGGTAAGAGAGTGACGAACAAATATTTAAACTTTTGTTTTTAAAGAATACACACAGAAAACAGGTTTGACAAATTTTTGTTTGGAAACTTTCATTATTTTAAATGTTCTTTGTTAGAAACACTTTAAAATGTAACAAAATGAGCACTGAAATCACAGCTATGTTAGAAGGCCAATGCACTCAAATTTTATTATAACTCCTTCAACTGGAGAGACAAGGTGAGTGAGGTAATATCTTTTGTTGGACCAACTTCTGTTGGTGAGGGAAACAAGCTTTTGAGCCACAGAGAGCTCTTCAGGTTTGGGAAAGGTACTCCCAGCTTTTGCTGTGACACTAGGAGTTCCTTCTCCAGACCTGAAGAAGAGCTCTGCGTGGCTCAAAAGTGTGTCTCTCTCACCAACAGAAGTTGGTCCAGTAAATGATATTACTTCATCCACCTTGTCTCTCCAACATCCTTGGGCTGACATGACTACAACACCACTGCATGGAAAAATGCATGTACTTGATCGTGAGTCTTGATATGATCTATTTGCATTTTTAATAATTGTTCCAGGAAGCCTGTCAGTACTTGTATATTCCATTCAGTGTATGTCTATGCTGCAATTGGAAGTGTGGTTGCAGCATGATTTGGTGTATCCACGCTAGCTTTAGACTTGCTACTATGACTAAAAATAGTGACACCATGATGGCACAGATTTCAGTGCAGGCTGTAGAAGCATGCTGGGGACCCTGGGTATGTACTTACTTTGCTAGCCCATGCTACTATGTCTTCACCGCTAGCTAGATTTAAGATAGCATGGGTATGCCAGCCAATGCTGGAACCATACCTCCAACTGAAGTGTAGATATATCCATGGTGATACTTCTTATGGTGGAGGGTGGGAGTTATACACTATAAAATTACTAGTTAAGTTATCAGATAATGAAAAACCTAACAATGGACAACTGTGAAATGAAGCTTCTTTCTAGTGGTGAGTGTAGTATGTTATGTGGAATATGACGTGTCTTCAGAATACATTAGGTGTAGCTCTCAGTTATCTGGGAGTCTACATTGCGATGCAGGCTGCTTTTTACATTCAGACTATGCAACTACACTTTACAGGGAAAGAAGAGAATTCTTTATTGAGAGATGAATTCAACTGCATGAGCAAGACGAAGCAGGGAAGTTCCCGCTTATTCTGTCCCCACAACACTACTGGCAGGATATTGAGTGATAATGCACTATCTGCCAATGAAACACAAGATAAAATTGTTACCTAATTAAAATGCACAGTGAGGGCTTTTGTCTTTAAAAATTACACTTTCATCTATCTGTATTAGAACATAAGGACAGTTGGGGGATATGGAGGAAGGACACTGGAACTGGAAACGAGCAACAAACATGCTTTTTTCATCTGCCTTTCATTCATGACATAACATGTCCATTTCTCTGTCTCACAAGCCTTTGTATGGATTACTTCAAGCAAAGCTACAGCTCATTACTCATGCCTATTTTGAAGAAAAAGACTTCTCACAAATTTCAATTCTTAAGGTAACTTTTCAATATATACTAATACAGTATAATGCCCCTTGTGTCTGACTATAGATTTTAAGTTATAAACATTTTTTAATCAATGTATTCTTATATGTATTGCATTTTTATAGGTGATACTTCTATTCAGCTATTTTAAATAATTACATGAAATAATATATTATCCTATTGTGAATCTGAGAAAGGAACAGATTTCTGATTAGTAAAATATCTAGAAACAATATCTTCAATGACACCCTTAAAGTAACAACCCGGTTATAAGCAAAAATGTTCTTTGGTCTGTCCATCTCTTTGAAACAAATTTTATTTATTTATTCTGGTCCCTTGGGTAGCTTTTTAGAACAGGTGTTACTAATCGGATGTGGTATTCATATGCCATTAGTATTTTTTATTTAACTTCTACAGGAACTTTATGAGCATATGAATAGCTCTTTGGGCGGAACTACACTGGAGGGGTCACAAGTTTATCTTGGTAAGGGACGTTTTTACAAGCAATAATATATAATGTTATATCAGTCAAATCATTCCCTCTAAACTAGTTTGTTTATGGGCATTAAAATTTAGCACCATGGGTTTTTGTGCCTGCATGGGACTTTATTATTTTCCCTTTCATTTATGGAGTTAAATAATTTTCAGGTAAACTACCCTTTATCTGTTTTTCCATAATGTGGATCTCATTTTAGGTTGTAATCCATGATAGTTCAGTCATGCCTCTTGATATGATATACATTTAGTGAGTGAGCTGTTCAGCTCCTTCTGAAAACTATGCTTTTTTGAAAATTTTAATTGTGGAGGAAATTTTCAATGGCATAAATGGCAGTTAGGAACCCAGTTCCTCTTGACTTCCAAAGGGAGTTGAGCACCTAACTGCCCTTTATGCCTTGAAAAATCTCCCCGTACATCCTTTGCTCCACATACCATAGGAAGAATTGTGATCTAGAAAGAGAAACAAAAGTTGTTGTTTAATCAAATGCTCCCATAGTAAAATGTTTTGGCTTCAGTATGACAGTAAATAGCCATCTTCTGGAATGCAGAGTCTCCATCTTACTTTCAACTCTCATTCTTAGAAGGAAGAGAAGGTGGTTTGAATTCTTTTAATGAAATCACCAGCATGTTTTCCATGAGAATGGGAAAATATTGTGTGTCACTTTAGCTTATGTAATTTGGTCAATAGAAAAATGGGGGACAGGAAGAAAGGAGTTGATACCCTTGCAATGCTTCACTAATGGATTTGTTCTCAATGTTTTAGGTCTGTCTCCTCGAGATCTTGTCCTTCAGTTTAGACACAAGGTACGCTTTCTTCATAGGCCTAATAAAGTACACCAGCAGCATGCTTTTTTTACATGGTAAAAATGTAGGTTGCATGATGAGCAACTGACAGCTAAGCGCACGCACACACACACACACACACACTTTTTTCATATTTTGAGGTCCAGGCTCTCTGCTGTACCTAAGGGGTGCTGCTAAGGAGCTAGATACAGCCTCCTGGGACTTTCTGGCCTCAGATGCAGGTTGATGCAACCTGGGAGTTGTTGTTTGAGGGACCATATACCATCTGGAGATATGTTCCAGCCACTCACCCTTCCTGCCACCACACACTGCCCATATTTCCTTGCCAGGAGTTGTGGGGAAGGAGGTGTAGCAACCTGCTCTATTGGCCCTACCCTTGTTAGGGATTCTCTCCCTCCCCTACTAGAAGTATCTCCCGTACTAGAAGTAGGCAGGTTTGAAGTACTCTTTACTTCCTTTATGCATATATCACAAAAAAACACCCCACAAAAAAAAACCCCACATACACCAAGGAGTAGGAAATGGTGGTGCCATCCCACTTAAACCTGTTATCCCAGTGGTTAGAGGACTTACGTTGGATGTGGAAGACTCGGGTTCAAATCCCCACTCTGCCTGATAGGAGCAGGGTCTTGAACCTGACTCTCCTACATCTTGGGCTGGTGCCCTAACTGCTGGACTATAGAGTCATTCTCATTCTCTCTATGGCTGAATGAATATTTTGTTGTTTTATGCGAAGTGGAACAACTTCAGTAGTAGAGATTGAGAGAAACTTGCCTCAGAATATACCATAGTGCAGTGGTTAGAGCACTCCTTCAGGAGGTGAAGAACTGGGTTTATGTCCCTGTTTCTCTCAGGCAGAGGGGGATTTGAGACCAGGCCTTCCACCTCCTGGGTAAGTGCCCTAATCACTGGGCTATTGCATAAATTGTGGGAATTAGGAATGCTTAGAGCAGTGGTGGGCAACCTGTGGGCCGCATGTGCCCCATCAGGGTAATCTAATTGCAGGAAGCGAAACATTTTGCTGACGTTGACCATCCGCAGGCACGGCCCCCCGCACCTCCCAGTGGCTGTGGTTTGCTGTTCCTGGCCAATGAAATAGCTAAGGGAAACATTTTTAATGAAAGATGAACTTATGTGTATTACACATGTGTGCACACATGTAAATGTGTTTTTCCCCCCGTTTGTTAGTCACTCACCATGTTAATTTTCCCTTCTTATTTTGCAGATCTTAATTCTTTTTAAATTGATTCTTCTAGAGAAAAAGGTAGGGTCTGTGGGATGAAGGGGAGGATTGAAATGGAGATGTAATTGTTTATATGACTCTATAGAGCGTATGTTTATGAAAGATAAACACTACACTAAATATGTCTGGAGTAAAACCCAATGCTCAAGTATATTTACATGCAGGTATAAATAAAAGTGGAAAACTTTATCCCCTTGATTAACTGCTCTGTGTGTGTGCTGGTGTATAAATTCTTCTCTCACACTATTAATTTTTTCCATTATTGACAGGTACTCTAGAGTAAAGGCAAGTAAGATTTGGTATGCTTGGGTAGGGAAATTTTCATAACAGTTTTTAATATCAGGACCTAAATAGTGCCCTCACCATTGCAGAGTGAAAATTCTTGGTGCATAAGGTCCAGCAAAATAGAACTTGATTTAAACATAAAACAAATAGTAATATAAATACCAAAGGAAGCAAGCTTTAGATTTTTTCAAGTTTTAGATTTTTGTGAATTGTATGGATACTTATCTGAAATATATATTTAGTATCCAAGCTCATGTCTCTCTAGTCATGTTAACTTTGATTCACAGTCAATAAAAATAAATATTAAAATAAATAAGTCATCCTAACTTAAATCCACAGAGAAGTGTAAGTCTCAATTATATTTTTCTTCAGGCTGTCTTACTGCCTAAAAGAGGTTCTGTCTTGGCAATTTAAGAGGAATCTGGAACATGTACAAACAAATAAGAAATAGAAACAAAAGAGTACCAATTTGTAAATTCAAATGTTGGGTCAAGATCTTTCAGTAAAGTGACTGAATATCAGCTCACAAATACGTGACCACAGGGATCCTTTTTTCCTACAATGTTTTTTTTTCATGTTAAAAGTAAACATCTTACTTTGCTCCCCCAGTGAACAAGCTAAATTATAAGAGTTCATCTCCTTGACAGAAATGACTTGTAGTTGCCTTTATAGGACAACTACAAAAAAATCATTCATTGAAGGGCAGGAAGTAATATAAACAAATCAGATGTGAGCACAGTTTTTATCAAGGTTGCACAAAATAACTGAGATGTCAAGAAATGCATATATTAAGATTGCGTGCACAACCTTAACTCTGCCCTATATGCATTGTGATAGCTTATAATTACTCAGATATAATACCACATTTTTTCTACATCCTCAAGCCTTTTCTGTACAAAGAGCATGCTATTTTCTCTAAATCAATTTAAAATATTGATCTAGTCAAATCAGCTCAAATCTCTAATGTAGATACACTTAAACCAGTTTAACCCTTGCTTATATAGATTTTTGCTTCAGTTGGTAACTTAATGACTCAAGGTCAACCAATATAAGCAAGGATAAAACTGGTTTAAGTGTCTGTTTTGGAGCTTTGCCACCATTTTAACTAGATTTATTTTGAGTAATTTAAAGTTGTAGAAAAAGTATTTTGGGAAACACGAAAGCGTAATTAGACAGGAAATGCCTTCATAGAAGTGGGTAAAACTAAGATTTGATGTGCAACCTTAACTGGAGCATTTTATACTATTTTTTTTCATTGCTTAGCCTTGTTACTTTAACATTCTTTCAATGTAGTTTTTTAAATAGATATTTCTAGTTTTAAAATAACTAACTGCTTAAGAACATGAGAATTAGTGGCCATATGTGATGTTTGGGTGTTTTAAGCAATTCAGGCCCAAACCCTGCAATTGGATTCAGTAGCATAGATTCCTTTGTCCAAGTGAAGCCCCACTGCTTTCCTCTGGGCTATGTAAAGGCAAAGGCATGTGCCCTACCAGGCCTGATTGCATGATCAAGATACCAGTGTCTCATTGTCTACTTTTTCATTTGCCAAAGCTGACGTGTTGAGTTTAATTCCAAAAAAGTGAGTAGCAGTGCCACATGGTAATCTTAGCAACAGTCTCAGAGTACACCAAAAAGCCTGTCGGTTTAAAATTACATATATAAACTCCTACATTTATTGTGTGTTATAAAACATTTAGTTTCAGTAATCTCAGTGTAATGATGGGGTGGGGTTTGTTTCACTTTCCACATTTACACTGGTCTGTTGAACAGTTTCCCAAATATTTCAAAAGTCTACTACAAATATGTTAAACATTAGAATTAAAAATAATTGTTTCACTTTACATTGGTACAAGAAATGTTTTAGAAACCGCCTTGCCTATTTGATTTAAAAACTGATTATGGTAGCATTTCATAATTACAGCTAAACATTGTAGTTACATTAGTACTGAGCTATCATTCCATTCTGAAGGTGTACAGACCACAAGAGACACATTCACAGGAAAAGTGGAGAGAAAAGCTTTCCCAGGCATGCTCAAATGACTCAAACACATGAGTCTAGTCTGAAAAAGCTGGACATCTATTGAATAATGTGAGAATTCTTTCTGAATTTAGAAGTAGAAAGTGAACCATGGCATCTTCAAAAAGAGAGAGAGAGCACACTGTTTCCTGTACTGCTTCTGAAGAGCTGCTAAGGTTCCAGAATAGTTGTGGGGAAACCTGTACAGTCAAAGACCTTAAACATACTAAGCCAGTATGCCCAATAATGCCACCCATTCTTGATCAGAAAGATGCCTTTTGTTCTGTGGCTCAACTCCCATTAATCCATGGGTTGATGCCTGTCCCACAGGTAGGAGGAAGCGTGTCTCAAACTCCAACTACTGCTAGGTTGAGACACCATCTCCAGATGGTGGCCATTTGGATATTTATTTCCAGGATCACGTTATTTGCTGGCTTGTTGCAGGGGGAAAGGGAGTCAATGTGCACCCAGACAAACTAAAGGAAAAAACACACTAGAATTATGGAAAGCACTAATCTTAAATATATAATGTACCATGCCACAAACAAAACTTTGGCCATGTGTGGGAAGAAGAGGTATTCCTTCACATGGATGGGTTTTTAAAACTGTTCTGACTGCCTGACTAGGGCAATTCTCCAGTCAGCTAAAGGCAATGTGGTATCACTCCCACTTTTCAACAGTGAGCATCAGCAAGGACCAGATTGATTGATTGATTGAATTGCAAAAATGACCTTCAGCCATCATTAAGATTGTAGCTAGTCATTCTCACCACCTCTGAAACTGATCCAACCAACCAGTATAAGATTGAATCATCCAAGTATAGTAAATGCCTGGTTATGCCTTCTCTTTAAATATTTATCTGAATAAAAATGTTATGGGGACTTTTATCGAAGTGAAATTCTCCATGAACTGATTTTTTTTATTTTTTTTAGATAGATAGATATGGGTATTAGATGTCCTCAGATTCTCTTGTTTGTTTTTCTCTCTGACTTAAGCTGTCATTTTAATTTGCCCTTCATCCCCCTCCCCACAGGTGTTGTTTTATATTTCTCCAGTAAATAGACTGGTGGGAGCACTGATGACTGTCTTGTCTCTCTTTCCTGGTAAGTAAAAGCAGGTTTCGGCTATTTCTTGCTTGTGTAATTTCTGTTCATAACTGAAACTGACAGTGATATATTTGGGGCAGGGGGAACTTATGTGATACGGGGGCTGTGTTGGTGTATTGCCAGAGTACAATAGCCACAATGAATTCACACACAAAGCTACATAATATTTTTATGAAGCACACATGCGCACAACCTGATAACACTTGTTACTTATGGAGTGCTCCTTACTGTAGTAATAAGAAACTAAGTCTATTTTATCTCTGCGGGCTGCATATTGGGCACCCTCGATATATCTGTGAATAAGAAGTCATTGGTTCTGTGTTCCTGACCAAATGTTTATCAAAGTTTTAAATAACACTTGCCAAGGCAGAAGGTCAGTACTGATCCATTTGGGCCAAAGTCATAGGTGCCGACTCCCTGGCTGCTCCACGCTGGAGCACCTATGGGAAAAAATGGTGGGTGCTGAGTACCCACCGGCAGTGTCCCTCCCTCCCCCGAGCAGCTCCCACCCACCACGATCAGCTGTTCCGCAGCGTGCAGGAGGCTCTGGAGTGGCGGGGGAGGAGCGAGGTTGGGGTGTGCCCAGGGGCGGGGGTGGAATGAGGCAGGGCAGGGGCGGGAAGAGGCAGGGGCGGGTGTGGGGCCTTTGGGGAAGGGGTGAAGTGGGGTCAGGGTCTGGGGCAGAGTGGGGTCAAGCAGCCCCCAGCACATTAGGAATTTGGTGCCTCTGGCAGAAGTGGACTGGATTTTTAAAGTGGCAACGAAAATGCATGACAGTTTTTTTTTATATATATATATATATATATATATACTAAAAAGCATTTCCTACTTTGCTATTATCAAAAATCACTAAAATCTTTGGTGAGATGATATTGTGTGTGTTTGTCCTCCAGGTATGATTGAACATGGTCTTACTGACAGTTCACAGTACAGACCAAGAAAGAGTGTATCAGAGGATACTGGCTTGCGGGAAGTTACACCCCCTTTAGATGATTATGTTTCTGTGTCTGCTGCTGACATTTCAAATACAAACTCAGGAATGGGTGAGGAAGGCAGGAAGCTATCAGGAAACCATGTGCGGGAGGCTCAGAAAACAGATGTGCCTTTATCCCATTCTGAAAAGAATTGCAATGGATCACAGTCCTCCAATGGCACGGGACAACATTTGAAACCTCCTTCACGCACTTCTCCAGAGTCTTCTGAAAGCGACTGGGAGACCTTGGATCCTAGTATTTTGGATGATCCCAACTTGAAAGAAGGAGAACATGAAAATCTGACATCAGAACAGACTGAAATCCTTTCAAAGGAATGCATAACATCGGAAAGCCCTCCAATTACTGTGCAATCTCAGGCTAAAACAGGACATGTGGTTCTTGTTCCAGGACTGATATCGGGGTTGGAGGAGGACCAGTATGGCATGCCATTGGCTATTTTTACTAAGGTAAACATTTTGATAATTATACTTAGTAAATATTTACCAACACTTTCAGGCCTAAGTTTTCAAAAGTGACTAGCAATTTTGGGTGCCCAACTTGAAGCCTGTTTAAAGTACTGCTCCATATTCAAGTGGAGGCTCTGACAAGTGACTTTATGTTTGTATAGTAAAAAAACCCCACTTTCCTGGATGTACTTTCCACCCCACATGCATATGCACTACTTCTCATGATTTATGACTGTTCAGCACAGCTGAAATTGGAGACACTATAGTTATGTGCATAGACGGGAAAGGGTAGGAGGGTAGAAGGAGTGTGTCTGAGCATTAGGTGAGTCTGACCTTAGTTTTGAATCTCAGGATACTCGGCATGTCTATTTAAAAAGGCTCGTCATATAATAGGACACTGATCTGCCATGACCACTTTTGCCTGATTTCTGAATCTTGGAAATGAATAATGTGAACACAAACTCATATTTTAGCATCATCCTTTGCAGCTATACTCTGAAATTCTCCGCATGTTGACAGAGCCTTGAGATGAGTTATGTCAGATATCTAAAGGTTTTTTGTTTTTTTTAATATTTCGTGAATGTAGATGGGAAGTCATGGTAAATATCCAGTCCTTTTAAAAATGGCTTTTGTGATGGGAGTTGGGACTGATGTTGATGACGTTATATCAATGGCTTTTTAGGGACTAGTGGAACTGTTTAGAATATCTTAAACTGGTAGTCATAGAATTAGAAGTTGATTTTATTAAACTATGTTCTCAGTGTTCTGATCCCATTGGATCGTAACTTATATTAGTAACTTATATGAGAAGCAACATGTTAAATTGCCCAAAGCTAACAGCTGAAATGCAACCTTCTCTGTGCTGCCATAACTCATAATTAGAAAAAGCTCTTTATCAGTGATCCACAATTAGGTGCTTGACCAAAACAAAAGTGTCAACCTTCAACGCTGGCTCTACAGACGACCAGAGATGCAAATTACACAGCCAAAGATTTGCCACAGAAAACTCAGTCTTTGATGTTCCGGAGTTAAAATTTAAGGAATGTCAATACAAGTGACCTGAAGCTGCAATCATGCCAACTAACATAGATATATAGAGGCCCTATGAAATGACAGCCAAATGCAAAGAGACAAGGTGGGTGAGAAAATATCTTTTATTGCACCAACTTCTGATGGCAAGCGAGACAAGCTGTCAAGCTTACACACAGCTCTTCTTCAGGTCTGGGAAACTTACTCAGAGGGCAGGTTTACACTTAAAAGGTTGCATTTGCGTAGCTGCACTGCTGTAGCCCTTTAATGAAGATGCTGTATACCGACAGCAAAGAGCTCCGCCCGTCAGCATAGTTCAGGGGTTCTCAGACTGGGAGTTGGGACCCCCCAAGGGCTCGTGAGGTTATTACATGGGGGATCACAAGCTGTCAACCTCCACCCCAAACCCCACTTGCCTCCAGCATTTATAATGGTGTTAAATATATTAAAAAGTGTGTTTAGTTTATTAGGTGGGTTGCACTCAGAGGCTTGCTGTGTGAAAGGGGTCGCCACTAAAAAAAGTTTGAGACCCACTGGCATAGTTAATCCATCTCCCTGAGAGGCGGTAGCTATGTCGATGGGAGAAGCTCCCTTACCGACATAACGCTGTCTGCACTGGGGCTTAGGTCAGTATAGCTACGCCACTCAGGGATGTGGATTTTTCACACCCCTGGTTGATGTAGTTATACCAATGCAAGTCTGTAGTGTAGACCAGACCACAGTGTCGCAGCTAAATACAAGATGGAACAGATTGTTTATCATAAGTATTTAACACATATTTCAAGGAACCATGAAGAGGCCCATTAACACCCCTCCAGTCCTTGGGAGGAAAGGAAGGGAATGGCGGGAATGTAGCTGTGGAGGGATTATTAGTGGGTTAAGGATTGTTGTAATAAGCCATAAATTCAGTGTCTCTATTCAGTCCTTGATTTTTAGTGTCTAGCAAAGTTATGAATTTAAGCACCTATGCTTGTCTTTTAAAGTGTTGTGCAGGTTATCTTTGAGGATGAGGACTGAGAGGTCAGATATAGAGTGATCGCTTTGTGAAAAGAGTTCACCAGCAGGTGATGTGGTGTTTTTGTCTTTTACCATTTTCCTGTGAGAGTTCATTCGAGAGCTTAGTGATTGTCTGGTTTCACCCACATAGTTATTTTTATTGGGGCATTTAGTGCACTGGATGAGGTACACCACATGATTTGAAAAGCATGTGTAGGACCAAAAGATCTTGAAAGGTGTGTTGTGGGGGGTGTTGATCAGTTGGTGTGTCCTGGTCTGTGAGCGGTTTGCTTCTGATGATCACAAGAGGGAGAGCTTGGGGGGTTGTTTGTTTGAAGGCCAGAAGAGAGGGCAGGAAGGATTTTTTCCAGCCTGGAGTCCCCATTAAGTATGGGTTGTAGTTGTTTGAAACCCCGTATGGGTTCCAATGGGGGGGTGGTAGATGACAACTAGGGGTGTGTGGTCAGAGAGCTGGTTTTATTTCTGTATTGAAACAGGTTCTCTCGGGGTATTTGGGTGACCTGTTCCATGATGTGATCTACTTTTCTGGTGGAATGTCGTTGTTCTGTGAAGGCGATTTTGTGTGTGTTAAGGTGTATATCCCAGATTTTCTCTTTGGAGCATGTTCTGTGGTATCTGAGTGCCCAGCTGTAGATAACAGATTTCTGTGTGTGGGGTGTTTACTGGATCTGTGAAGGTAGTTGTGGTGATCCGTGGGTTTCTTGTACAGACTTGTAGAGGGTTCCATTGTTGAAGCTGATTGTGGTGTCCAGGAAGTCGATGCTGGTATGAGAGCATTCCAGAGAGAGTTTAATGGACAGGTTGTGATTGTGAAAGTTGTGGTAAAAATCTGAGTGAGTTTTCATTGTCTGTCCAGAGGATGAAAATATCATTGATGTATCTCAGGTATATCATTGGTTTAATGATAGACAAATTATATATCTAGGATACATCGATGATATTTTCATCCTCTGGACAGATGACTGAATAAAATGGTAAAGGACAAAAATACCACATCAGCTGTGGGTTAACACTTTTCACAAAGCGATCCCGCTATATCTGATCTATCAGTCCCCATCCTCAAAGGAAACCAGCACAACACCTTCAAAAGACACTGGATTTATAGTTTATTACAAAAATCTATAACCCACTAATAATCCCCTGCCAACTGCTTTCCTCCCTGTGACAGGAGGGGTGTTAATAGGCCACTTCATCTTGAATGGTCCCTTGAAATATATGTTAACTACTTATGCTAAACAATCTGTTCCATCTTGTGTTTAGCTGTGATACTCTGAGTAAATTTCCCAGTCCAGAAGAAGAGCTCTGTGTAAGCTCGAAAGCTTGTCTGTCACCACCAGAAGTTGGACCGCTTAAAGATATTACCTCACCCACTTTCTGTCTCTAATATCCTGAGCTGACACGGCTACAACAACAGCTTCGAGCAGGGGGTTGGACTAGATGACCTCCTGAGGTCCCTTCCAACCCTGATATTCTATAATTCTAACGATGCATACAAGCAAATGCAAATTCATGTTTACCAGTTCAATTAGAAATACCAGTTTAAAGGGGGAAATCAGTGTTTTTTTCATTTGGTAAAAGGACAAAATCACTAATGGGGGAAAAAAATCTTGAAGATTTTCAGATGGGTTTTAAAATGGAGAACTAAACAATTTAAATGTAAAAAGAAAAGGAGTACCTGTGGCACCTTAGAGACTAACCAATTTATTTGAGCATAAGCTTTCGTGAGCCACAGCTCATTTCATCGGATGCATACTGTGGAAAGTGTAGAAGATCTTTTTATACACACAAAGCATGAAAAAATACCTCCCCCCACCCCACTCTCCTGCTGGTAATAGCTTATCTAAAGCGATCACTCTCCTTACAATGTGTATGATAATCAAGTTGGGCCATTTCCAGCACAAATCCAGGTTCCAGCAAGAGACTGCTGAATTGGAATTCATTTGCAAATTGGATACAATTAACTTAGGCTTGAATAGAGACTGGGAGTGGCTAAGTCATTATGCAAGGTAACCTATTTCCCCTTTTCCCCTTGTTTTTTCCTACACCCCCCCAGACGTTCTTGTTAAACCCTGGATTTGTGCTGGAAATGGCCCACCTTGATTATCATACACATTGTAAGGAGAGTGGTCACTTTAGATAAGCTATTACCAACAGGAGAGTGGGTTTGTGGGGGCGGGGGGAGAAATCCTGGATTTGTGCTGGAAATGGCCCAACTTGATTATCATACACATTGTAAGGAGAGTGATCACTTTAGATAAGCTATTACCAGCAGAAGAGTGGGGTGGGGGGAGGTATTTTTTCATGCTTTGTGTGTATAAAAAGATCTTCTACACTTTCCACAGTATGCGTCCGATGAAGTGAGCTGTGGCTCACGAAAGCTCATGCTCAAATAAATTGGTTAGTTTCTAAGGTGCCACAAGTACTCCTGTTCTTTTTGCGAATACAGACTAACATGGCTGTTACTCTGAAACCTGTAATTTAAATGTAGCTGACAGTATGGTTTTTAATGTTTACCTTCCATCCTACGAAGGCACTCTCTCATTCAAGTTTAATTAATGAAATCAAAGCAGAGGACTGGAAATTTCAGATATATCAATTTCTAGTGATGAGCATCCTTCAATAACGTCTAGATCAGGGTGGGCAAACTACGGCCCACGGGCTGGGTTCAGCCCATCAGGCTTTGGATCCAACCTGTGGGATTGCTGCTCCCGGAAGTGGCTGGCACCACGTCCCTGCAGCGCCTCGGGGATGGGAGGGGGCAGAGGGCTATGCACGCTGCCCTCGCCTGCAGGCACCGCCCCTGCAGCTCCCATGGCTGGGAATGGAAAACTGCGGCCAATGGGAGCTCTGGGGGAGGTACCCACAGGTGAGGGCAGTAAGGGCCTCAGGGATGTGGTGCCGGCCGCTTTTGAGAGCGGTGCAAGGCCAAGGCAGGCAGGCAGGCAAGGAGCCTGCCCTGGCCCCAGTGTGTGCTGCTGCCACCCTGGAGCGGCTCCAGATAAGTGGCACCGGGTCGGAGCCCGCACCCCAACTCCCTGCCCTGAGCCACCTGCCTGCACCCCTGCCCTGAGCTCCCTGCCGCACCCTGCACTCCTCTTGCACCCCAACCTCCTGCCCTCAGCCTCCTCCCTACACCCCTGCCCTGAGCCCTTTCCCGCACTCTGCACCCATCCTGCACCCAGTCCCCTTCCCTGAGCCCCCTTGTACACCCCACATTCCTCCTCTACCCCAGCCCCTTGCCCTGAGTCCCTTCCTGCACACTGCACATCCTCCCGCACCCCAACCCCAGCCCTACATTCATGGCCCTGCATGCAATTTCCCCATCCAGATGTGGCCCTTGGGCCAAAAAGTTTGCCCACCCGTGTTCTAGATTGTCTCAGCAAACAATTTAATTTAACATGAAACTGAACTCCATTTTAGATCTGACAATTTTTAAATCATGGATGGATATTTTTCTAAAAGATATACTCTAATACAAGGAAATCTTATGTCCTGTGTTATACAGGCAGTCAGACTAGATGATCACAGTGGTCCCTTCTGGCCTTATAATCAGCGAATCTCTTTTGATAGGATTATTTACAAGTTTGTTTTCTTGTTTTTGTTTGTTCGTTCCATACTATGGAAAGAAAGTTTAGTCCACCAGACCAAACTTGGATGAATGAGATTGTGCCGAAAGGTCATGAACTGGCTTAATTGGTAATGCATTTCCTAGTATAAAAGAGCACAAAACCACAAGGAAAAAACAGGTTATGGATTTTTGTTACTAATTTTAGTGCCAGCTATATAAGGTCAGATGCTCATGTCATTTACACCAGTGTAAATCAGAAGTCGTCAGAGTTGCATGGTGAGTTTGGAATCAGGCCCTCTTTATTTTAAATGGCAAAGCATTTCTAAAATTTTACAACTCGTCTGGTGGTTAAAATTACATGACAATTAAATATTGCATTGTCAACTTCCTTAATATTATTTTTCTGGAAACCTAATACTCCAGGTTGGTGACTCTCTAACACAGGACTGTTATTCTCTGACAAAGACGGTTCTGTTATAGATGTTAGTATTTTTCATCTGGATAGCAACCCCCGTGTTTAATCTAGAAAAAAGGAGTAGTTGTATTCCTTTCCTCCCTGTGTTTCAAATTGCCAGTACTGCATGCTGATATACATTCACTCTTGTTGTTTTGTCCAATATGCCTGTCCTCCTTCTGCTAGTATTAGTGAATGAACTGGACAATGCTTTATGTAACTGAACAGCTGGAATTGGGCTAGTGTTTCAAGGGGTACATTGATTCTATTTTAAAATGAAAACTATAATGCTTCCAGCTGTATCACTAAAATGTGGGTGTAACCTACATCAAAGACTTAGACTTTCTTTAAATAGCAAATTTTCCTGGAAAGCATTGGTGTAATTAGTATCATAAGGACACAGTGGTTAAAAAGCACAGAGCATCATCTTTTTCTCCTGCTGCTTTTTTTTTTTTTAAAAGCAGGCATGCACATGCTCACAAAAAGTTATCCCTGGAGCCTGAAAGTCCCTGTCCCTGAAAAACATGGATAGCAACAGTGAAAGAGTCTCTTAACTGTCCTGGAAGTATACCTGAGTCCTGCCAGAAGAGACTGCTGTGGAAGAGAGGATAGTCTGCTGTCCGTTCAGTTTTTGTCCTCTTTACTGTGCATGCCAAGGACACGAGAACTGGATTGAGACCACCAAACTCATTTCACATTTGTCAACTCTGTTACCATCTGAAGGCTGTTGTGACTGGTTGAAATCCAACCCACTAAGAGTGAAAGCCGCCATAAGCCATTACCAAGTATACTCCATTTCTGTGAAACCTGGTTTGCTTAATGTAGCAAAGCAACATCAGATTCCAGTGGCAGTGTAGCTAGGAACCTGGTGCAGAGCAATAACCAGGCTTGTTCTCTCTGTGTGGTGGTGGTGTTGCCTTTGTTTAGCTCTAGCTAGAACTGTGGAGGTGGGTAAGTACAGTAAGATTGGTTTTGCCGGGGATGTTTTGCCCTTTCCCTTTTCTTACTAATCATTTAACATTTCCATTATCTTAGGGTTACCTTTGCTTGCCATACATGGCACTGCAACAGCATCACCTCCTCTCTGATGTAACAGTTCGTGGCTTTGTTGCGGGAGCCACCAACATCCTGTTCCGTCAGCAGAAGCATCTAAGTGATGCAATTGTGGAAGTATGAATTCTCTTCTTAAAAACTTTTTAAACTGAAAAAGTGGTTGCCTTATGAACGTGTTTAAGTCAAAATAAGAGCCTTTGTTTACTAATGAAGTTGTTAAATACATTATTTTTATTATTTGTATTGTGTTGGTACCTAAGAGTTCCAGTTATGGACCAAAACTCTACTGTCCTAGGCTCTGTACAAACACACAACAGAAAGATAGTTCCTGCTCCAAAAAACTTACCTGCACACTTTCTTTTAAAAGAGCTTTTGTCAGAAAACAATATGTACAAAAATATTCCTAAACTTCCAGTTAGGGTCACTGAAATTTTCTGTACTTTGTTTACAGTGGACAACTGAACAAGTTTTTATGATGTGTGTTCAGTTACCTATCTATGTCCTATGCTATGGGCTTGTCTTTCAAAGGAAATTGACCGAATCAACTGTGTGTTCACACAAAGAGCTATTCTGGAATAGCTATAGTGCTGTAAATTCACACCCTATCTTATTCCAGAACAACTTCACTCTGGAGACAAGCCCTTAAATACAATAGAGATGGAAAAGTCTCACACCTATGATGCTAGAATTCTATATACTTGCATTTATATAAGTTATTAAGCAGGAAACCTTAACTTCATTCACTTTCAAAAATATTAATAAGTTTCTGGTGTAATACATTATATCCAGTATTTACACTTTATAGAATATTTTTTAAAGCTCCATATGATTCCTTGTTAGTCATGGTTTATTTTTCTCATAGTGAACTTTCATAGCTGCCTAATAAGATCTTAAAAGTAAATGTTTATAATTGAGAAGCAGACACAGTTGTGATAACATAAATATGCTCTTCCTCAGATTTATTTACTTTATATTTAAGCGGCAATAAAAAATGCCCAAACAGAAAGCTGTAGATGCCCTAAGAATTAAGTTTACAATTGCATAATGATGACCACCCAACAACATTAAAAAATTATATGCAGGTAGCAAATTAACTCAGTCAGCCAATAAATCAAAGTCTCAGAAAATAGTCTCTAGGAACATACTCTATAGGAATGTACCCAAAATCCTGACAAAGAGCTTCCGCAGGTTTTGCCAGGAAGTTCATCAAGTTCAGGCTACTTCAGACCATCATCTCATATCCTGAGAACAGTTGAAGCATAATTTGGTCATCAGTTTCTCCTTACCTTTGGTTGTGGTTATAGGTGCGGATGAATTACTCATTTGACCAAAAATAGTACAGGTTATGTATGCTGAAAGTCTTATTTAGACTGTTTCCCCCCTTGGGATTATTTCAATCAGATAGAGGAAGCCCTTGTCCAAATCCATGATCCAGAACTCAGGAAGATCCTGAACCTCACAACTGCTGACCTGAGATTTGCAGACTACTTGGTGAAGCATGTAACTGAGAACAGGGATGATGTTTTCCTCGATGGCACCGGTTGGGAGGGAGGAGACGAGTGGATCAGGGCTCAGTTTGGTGCCTATCTTCATGCATTGCTTGCTGCTGTGCTGCAGCCAGGTAAATTCTGGTAATCTTTTTAGGGGCTGAGGTGAGGATGGGCAGGGGAGGCTGAATGCATAGTAAACAATTGCTCCATTGCATTTTCAGGTTGGCTTATATTCATCCTTTATCTCAGTTGAAAATTTTTTTTTTTAAATCCCTTGACCATCTTCATTAATTTCTTGCTTTATTCTATGTTGTTAACTCTCAGTGATTTAGCGATTATTATATTCCCCCTTTGTTATCTTCTTTTGGGTATTTGTGTTAATTTCCATTACACTTTCCTCATAAATAGAAGTACTTGAAATGTATACATGCAGACATCCTGCTAATTTAGGGTCTCTTTTTGGATTTTAGCTATTCCCAATTGTTTATGCAGAATTTAAACAGCTTTTTCTCTGAATCTTTTAGGAAAAGTTCTGTTTGCCCAGTATTAATCCTTTTAATTGCCCTCCCCTTCATAATTATTCTCAGTAGACTGCCTGTCAACCAATTCTGTGTCCACTCCATGATATTCCTGAGCAAACGCTGTATCAAGCTTCACTTCAAACATAGATATATTACGTTCTCTGGGTTCTCTGTATCTCCAGCTTTGTACTTTTATTTAAGATTACAGTTTGTGGCATAACATGCTTTTCATGAACCCCATGATAGATTTTACTTTTCCCTTTTGAATATTCTAGATTGATTTTCTGTATTTGTAAATATATTGCTAAAGGGTCATTAACATAATACACCAGTAGTATATGATGGTTCATTAATTCACACTTTAGTAACTCTCAGCTTCACCCTCAAATTGAATTTGCAGTTTAATGTAGTACAGTAAAGCAGGGTTCTGCTGTTAGGGCAGAGGTGGGCAAACTACGGCCCGCGTGCCACATCCAGCCCGCAGGATCCTCCTGCCTCGCCCCTGAGCTCCTGGCCCCGGAGGCTAGCCCCTGGCCCCTCCCTGGCTGTTCCTTCTCCCCCGTAGCCTTAGCTCACTGCGCTGCCGGCGCGATGCTCTGGGCGGCGGGGCTGCGAGCTCCTGGGGCAGCGCAGCTGCAGAGCCAGGCCTGACCTGGTGCTCTGTGCTGCCCGGTGGCGTGGCTGACTCCAGCTGGGTGGCACGGCTGTAGTGCTGCCAGCCACCGGTGCTCCAGGCAGCGCGGTAAGGGAGCAGGGGGGGGTTGGATAGAGAGTAGGGGAGTTCGGGGGTGGTGGTCAGGGGGCGGGGGTGTGGATAGGGGTCGGGGTGGTCAGAGGGCGGGGAACAGGGGGGTTGAATGGGGGCAGGAGTCCTGGGGGGGGCAGTCAGGAATGAGAGGTGGGGTTGGATGGGGCGGTGGGGGGCAGTCAGGGGACAGGGGGGTTGGATGGGGAAGGAGTCCTGGGGAGAGGCCATCAGCGGGCAAGAAGTGGGGGAGGCAGGGGCTGGGCCACGCCTGGCTGTTTGGGGAGGCACAGCCTCCCCTATCCGGCCCTCCGTACAATTTCCGAAACCTGATGTGGCCCTCAGGACAAAAAGTTTGCCCGCCCCTGCGTTAGGGCAAGATCAGTACAGGTGATATCATGTTCTTTGACTTGTTTCCTGCTGTCGGGTAATGCCTTGCAACAGAGCTAGGCCACTTACCTTCACTTTCAGATTCTCATGTGGTGGCACAGTGCAGTTTGGGTTCATTATATGGGGATGTTTAACAGCTTGATATCAAAAAATCAAAATACAATTTTATTCATATTGATATTTTTTAAAAAAAACTAAGTTGTATCTAAACTAAATTGTCAGTATCCCAGGGGTAGCCTTGTTAGTCTGTATCCACAAAAACCATGAGGAGTCCGGTGGCACCTTAAAGGCGAACAGATTTATTTGGGCATAAGGTTTTGTGGGTAAAAACCCCACTTCTTCAGATGCATCTGCGGTTCTTCAGATGCATCTGAAGAAGTGGGTTTTTTACCCATGAAAGCTTATGCCCAAATAAATCTGTTCGTCTTTAAGGTGCCATCGGACTGCTAAGTTGTCAGTGTTCCTTTAAATGAATTTCTTGGTTGTCTGAACTCCATTTTCCTTTCCTTAACTCTTTGTGTTGGGCAGTGGCATTTTTTAAAACCCAGAATAATGAGCTTGTTGCTTTGCTAATGTTTATGGAACTGGAACCCCATGTTCTCTGGTTGACAAGAATCGAAGAAATTTCTATTTTCTTTCAAAACCTCCCTTTCATTTCTTCTTTTACATCCTCAGTGCATTGCTACAGGTTCATTCACCTTCTGTCTTTTATTAATCAGATAACGAAAAGATATTGTCGGACTTCGGAACAGCCTTTGTAGCAACTTGGAAAAATACACACAACTACAGAGTATGGAACAGCAACAAGCATCCTGCTCTTGCAGAGGTAAATTCTAGGTAAGAAACCAAGTTCAGAAAAAAGGGGGGAAATAAAGAGTTTATTGTGCTGTTCTTATATGGAATCAGAGCGCTTTTGTGTGGGATGTTACAAGGTTCTCTTTCATTGCTCCTCCCTACAGCCTATATGAGGCAACTCTGGGAAACTTTGAGATATTCAGGACTGAACTGCTGTAAAGATTCTGGAGGTACCTCCTTTTCTCCAGACCAGGGTGATGCAGTCTCTCTCTCATTACTAGCACCTGACTCAGATTGTGGGGCATAGATGAGAAGAAGCTTGCTAAAGCTCTGCCTAAAGACAGAAGTGAAGCTGGTAGGAAGTCTCTGAATAACTTTGAGAGTTGGCTGTCCTCCTTATGGGGGAGGGTAAGTGTGCAGAGGCTTCATCCACCTTTCCTTAGAAATTTACAGTCTGCTGGTTCCTGTGCATTTTTGGTTGCATCTATTTTTCCAGGGAGTAGTAGTGGCCAGGATCATCATTTGACAGCAGTGTTGTTGGTTCAGAGGTTGTATTCTTTCCTTTTTAAATGTAGACTTTGCCATAGTTTTTAATGCCTTGTCACTTTAAAATTGGACTAGTTAAACCTGTACTCCATATGTTGCATTGGATGCTGTTTGAGTTCAGTTTATGGCATTTTTTTTTTTAAATCTATGAAGCCCTACATGGCTACCCAAGACATCACTTCTCTCATTATGCCTCATCTTATCAGCAGGAGGATTGTCTCAGCTGCCAGCTTTTGTGAGGTTTGAAAAGAAGATGAAACATGTGTAGTTTGTAAATGGATGGCAGATTACAGGTGATTTGTCAAAATCCTACAACTGAATCACAACTGGGACATGTATAACTAGATATTTTCTTTGTTTCAGTGGAGGACAACCAGCAAATAAAACCATTCTGTTTTTTCATTATGGGAAAAATGGCAAAATTAGAACACTATATTTTTCCCCTTACAGCCACCCATTCCAGGGGCAATACTCTGTATCAGACGTAAAGTTAAGATTATCACAGTAAGTATATAATACTTTGATATTTTATTGTCTGTTGCTAAACTGAGAATATGTAGACAAATCGAGATTCTTTTAAAGATACGGGAATTGACCCTCTTTGTGAAATTATATGCTGCACTAAACTAGCAACATACAAGGATGTATACCCCAAATTAAAAAACACAGTAAAAGAACTCAGAAAGAGCCACATTGGCTTAACAACCATGTAAAAGAAGCAGTGAGAGATAAAAAGGCATCTTTTAAAAAGTGGAAGTCAGATCCTAGTGAGGTAAATAGAAAGGAGCATAAACACTGCTAAATTAAATGTAAAAATGTAATAAGAAAAGCGAAAAGGAGTTTGAAGAACAGCTAGCCAAAAACTCAAAAGGTAATAACAAAATGTTTTTTAAGTACATCAGAAGCAACCAGTGGGGCCCCTGGACGATCGAGACACAAAAGGAGCACTTAAAGACGATAAAGTCATTGCGGAGAAACTAAATGAATTCTTTGCTTCAGTCTTCATGGCTGAGGATGTTAGGGAGATTCCCAAACCTGAGCTGTCTTTTGTAGGTGACAAATCTGAGGAATTGTAACAGATTGAAGTGTCACTAGAGGAGGTTTTGGAATTAATTGAGAAACTTAACAGTAACAAGTCACTGGGACCAGATGGCATTCACCCAAGAGTTCTGAAAGAACTCAAAATTGAAATTGCGGAACTATTAACTATGGGTTGTAACCTGTCCTTTAAATCAGCTACTGTACCCAATGACTGGAAGATAACTAATGTAACGCCAATATTTAAGAAGGGCTCTAGAGGTGATCCTGGCAATTACAGACCGGTAAGTCTAACGTCAGTACCGGGCAAATTAGTTGAAACAATAGTAAAGAATAAAATTGTCAGACACATAGAAGAACATAAATTGTTGCGCAATGGTCAACATGGTTTCTGTAAGGGGAGATCATGTCTTACTAATCTGTTAGAGTTCTTTGAGGGGGTCAACAGACATGTGGACAAGGGGGATCCAGTGGACATAGTGTACTTAGATTTCCAGAAAGCCTTTGACAAGGTCCCTCACCAAAGGCTCTTAACGTAAATTAAGTTGTCATGGGATAAGAGGGAAGATCCTTTCATGGATTGAGAACTGGTTGAAAGACAGGGAACAAAGGTTAGGAATAAATGGTAAATTTTCAGAATGGAGAGGGGTAACTAGTGGTGTTCCCCAAGTGTCAGCCCTAGGACCAATCCTATTCAACCTATTCATAAATGATCTGGAGAAAGGGGTAAACAGCGAGGTGGCAAAGTTTGCAGATATTACTAAACTGCTCAAGATAGTTAAGACCAAAGCAGACTGTGAAGAACTTCAAAAAGATCTCACAAAACTAAGTGACTGGGCAACAAAATGGCAAATGAAATTTAATGTGGATAAATGTAAAGTAATGCACATTGGAAGAAAAAAACCCAATTATACATACAATATGATGGGGGCTAATTTAGCTACAACTAATCAGGAGAAAGATCTTGGAGTCATCATGGATAGTTCTCTGAAGACGTCCACGCAGTGTGCAGCGGCAATCAAAAAAGCAAACAGGATGTTAGGAATCATTAAAAAAGGGATAGGGAATAAGACTGAGACTATCTTATTACCCTTGTATAAATCCATGGTACACCCATATCTTGAATACTGCGTACGGATGTGGTCCCCTCATCTCAAAAAAGATATACTGGCATTAGAAAAGGTTGCCCCCCTTCATAATCTCTTTGCTAAAATGAACAGTCCCAGTCTTTTTAATTTCTCCTCATATGGAAGCTGTTCCATAACCCTAATAATTTTTGTTGCCCTTCCCTGTAACTCTTTCAATTCTAATATATCTTTTTTGAGATGGGGCGACCAGAACTACACATAGTATTCAAAGTATGGGTATACCATGGATTTATATAGTAGCATTATGATATTTTTGTCATCTTATCTATCCCTTTCCTAATGGTTCCTAACATTGTTAGCTTTTTTTGACTGCCGCTTCACATTGAGTTGGATGTTTTCAGGGAACTATCCATGATGATTCCAAGATCTCTTTCTTGAGTGGTAACCGCTAATTTAGACCCATCACTTTGTATGTATAGTTGGGATTGTTTTTTCTAGTATGCATTAGTTTGCACAAATCAAGTTTGAATTTCATCTGCCATTTTTTCACCCAGTCACGCAGTTTAGTGAGATCCTTTTGTAACTTTTTGTTCTTGGTTTTGGATCTCATTGTCTTGAATAAATACCTTGCAATTTTGCCACCTCACTGTTCACCCCATTTTCCAGAACATTTATGAATATGCTGAACAGTACACATCCCAGTACAAATCCTTGGGGGACCCCGCTATTTATCTCGCTTCATTGTGAAAACCTGACCATTTATTTCTACCCTTTGTTTCCTACCTTTTAATCAGTTACTGTCCAGGAGAGCACCTTCCCTCTTATCCCTGACGGCTTAGGTTGCTTAAGAGCCTTTGGTGGGGGACCTTGTCAAAGGCTATGTCTACACTGGAACATAAATGCAGGGTTCCAACTCAGGCTCAAACCTAACCCCCCTTCCATCTACACACATATTGGACCCAGGACCCTACAGGGGTCTGAGCCTGAATCAACATCGTACCATGGGTTCAAGCCCTATTGCTTTGCAGTGTAGATGCAGCCCCACTGGACTCGTGCTCTTAGAGTCCACCAAGAGTATCCCACAGGCCAAGTTCCTTTGTCCTCTGGAGAGTCAAGTTTGATGGACAGTCAAGTTTTCCCACTCTGCACCACAAACAAAGGGCTAGAGCGGCTACATTCTGGTGCAAAGAAGTCTGGGATATGGATGGACTTGGGCCCACATAATACTGTGTAGGTGCTGGAGCCCCATGCTAGAACCCAAAGTTCAACAATTCATAACTTGAGGTTACAAATGAGCATAAATGCTAAAGCCTTAAGTTAACAAACCCAGGATCTGCTAACTCAAGTTCTACTAACCTTGGGCTTACATTACTATGTAGACATACGCTGAAAGCCCAAGTATATTATATCAACTGTGTCACCCTTGTCCTCATGCTTGTTGATTCCTCAAAGAATTCTAATAGATTGGTGAGGGATGATTTCCCTTTACAAAAGCAGTGTTGACTCTTCCCCAAAATATCATGTTTATCTGTATGTCTGATGATTTTGTTCTTTATTATAGTTTCAACCAATTTGCTTGGTACTGCAGTTAGTTTTACCAATCTATAATTGCCAGGATTATCTCTGGAGCCTTTTTAAGAAACACGTTATATTAGCTCTCCTCCAGTCATCTGGTACAGAGGCTGATTTAGGTTATAGGTTACATAACACTGTTAGTAGTTCTGCCTTCAGAACTCTTGGGAGAATACCATCTGGTCTTCGTGACTTATTACTGTTTATCAGTTTTTCACAACCTTCTGTAATGATACCTCAGTATGGGATAGTTCCTCAGATTTGTCACCTAAAAAGAAAGGCTTAGATATGGGAATCTCCCCCATGTCCTCTGCAATGAAGACTGATGCAAAAAAATTAATTCATTTAGCTTCTCGCAACAACCTTATCCTCCTTGCGTGCTCCTTTAGCACCTCTGTCGTCCAGTTGTCCCACTGACTACTGCTTCTGATGTACCTAATGGTTTTTTGTTTTGTTTTGGTTTTTTTGCTGTTAGATTTTGTGTCCTTAGTTACTTCCTTTTCAAATTCTTTCTTGGTCTGCCTTCTTATACTTTACACTTGACTTGCCAGAGTTTATGCTTCTTTCTATACTCCGCACTAGGATTTGACTTTTGATCTTTAAAGGATGTCTTTTTGCCTCTAACCATTTCTTTAACTCTGCTGTTTAGCCATATTGGATCCTCTTTCTCTTTTTTATTATTATTATTTGGTGCAAACATTGAGTTTGAGCCTCCATTATGGTGTATTAAAATAGTCTTCATGTAGTTTGCAGGCATTCCACCCTTGTCACTGTTGTTTTTAATTTTTCTTTAACTGTTTTTCATTTTTGCGTAGTTCACCTTTTTGAAGTTAATTGCTACTGTGGTGGGTTTCTTTGACATTTCCCCCCCATACGAATCTTAAATTTAATTATATTATGGTCATTATTATTAAGCAGTTCTGCTATGTTCACCTTTTGGAGCAGATCCTGTGCTCCACTTAGGACGATACTAAGAATTGCTTCTCCCTTTATGGGTTGCAGGACAAGCTGCTCCAAGAAGCAGTCATTTAATATGTCTAGAAATTTTATTTCTGCATCTCTTCTCGAGGATCATAGTTGAAATTCCCCATTAATATTGGGTTTTCTACCTTTGTATCCTCTCTAATCTCCCTGAGTATTTCACAGTCACTGTCACCATCATGGTCAAGTGGTTGGTAGTATATTCCTACTGCTATACTCTTATTGTTCAAGCATGGAATTTCTATCCATAGAGATTCTATTGTAAAGTCTGATTCATTTAAGATTTTTACTTTATTTGACTCTATGCTTTCTTTTACATAGAGGGCCATTCTCCTACCAGTGTGACTTACTCTCTCATTCATATATATTTTGTACCTTGGTATTAACACATCTCACTGATTTATCCTCATTCCACCAAGTTTCCATGATGTGGATTATATCAATATCTTCATTTAATGCCAGGCACTCTCGTTCATGCACTTTATTACGGAGATTTCTATAATTTGTATACAAGCATTTGTTCATTTTGTCAGTATTCAGTTGCTTGCCTTTATATGTTATATATAAATGAGACTCTTTTGTTTGACTCTTCCTCACTAGCTACTATCTGTACTTTACCAACTTCTTTCCTATCCCCTTTACTAGGTTATAGAATTCCCCCTTCAGTAAATGGTAGGAGAGAGGTCCCAGAGGCAGGGCTGGCTCTGGGCACCAGCTTTCCAAGCAGGTGCTTGGGGCGGCATTCAGAATAGGGCGGCAGTCCGTGTCCTGTGGCAGCAATTCGGCGGCAGGTCCGCTGCTGTTGCGGCAGCAGCAATTCGGCAGCGACTGCTTGGGGCGGCAAAATTGGTAGAGCCACCCCTGCCCAGAGGACGAATTTAGGCTACTAGGTAAGAGATTAAAGCCCAGGAGCTCCATGGTAGCACTCTCTGAAACGCTTCCAATTCTATGCACAGGGCCAGAAAGACAGGCAAAACTGCAGGGTCTCAATGCATGGATGAGACGATGGTATAGGGAGGAGATTTAGGTTTATTACAGGAAGGATGGGCTCCATCTAAACCAAAACGGAACCAGATTGCTGGCATGTAAAATTAAAAAGGTCATAGAGGAGTTTTTAAACTAAGAGCTGGGGGAAAGCAACAGGTGCTGAGGAACACACAGTTTGGGTGGAGACATCCCACCGGCTCCTCCCCAGCACTGCACAGAAGGCTGTCTAAATGTCTCATGAGACATGCAACTTTTTTGCACCTGGTAGGCAATTTACCATGTTGGTCTCCTGGTCATCACAAACCCAGCTATCTTTAGTTCTAATAATTGAATCTCCCCTTACCGTTACTGACTCTTTCTAGTAACTGGGGTTCCCTCCCCAGGAGGGGTATCCTTAGTGGCCTTGTTAGGTGTATCTGCCTCTCATACTCAGTCTCTAAACTCCCTTGCAAAACTCCCGTTTGCTAGCTCTTCTGGTTGCTTAGGAGCTGGCTTTTTAAACCCCTGTTCTCCTTGAGTTAGCGCTGCCGTTCCCGCCCCCCGCCCTTAAGGGATCCTAACTGGGTTAGGGATCTTAAGATAAGCTGGAACCTCATTAGTAAGCTTTCAGCCCTTGGCTCAGCAAGTGTATGGCAAGCAAGCAAGCACACAACAAACAAACTCATTCAAGGGTGTCTCATCCTTCAGCTGGAGAATTCTCTTGTTTGCTGCTCTTGTTCGCTAGCTGTCATTCTTGTCACTAAAGTTAGCAGATGTGACTTTCTAAGAAGAGGGAGAAGATCTATGGAGGTACAAAGGTATCATTTTTACAGTCAATTTTTTAGTGTAGAAATAAAACCTGACTTCAAGGGACAGCTCTAGAGAGAAAAGGGTTGGTCCTTGTTGCCTGTGCTCATCGTAACAGTGGCTAGGTTTCCATGACGAAAACTGAGATCAGAAACCCATTTCACAAAAGCTACCTTACCATGATAATAGCAGTTGCTATCAATTTCAATTTAGACCTTGTTTTAGCCTGTAATCTGGAGATAAATCTTCTTGTAACTCATTTCTAATCCCCAAAGCCATTGGTGTCCCCTTTTTATTTGATACAATTTTATCACCTAAACTTTTTTTTTGAGAGAGGAGACATTAACACTTTGTGAAACTCTAAACTGAATTTAAGGGGATCAGTAGGCCTTAAAGTATGATTCTAATGAAAGAAATATTCTTGCAACAACATATTTATTCTCCATAAGTGACAGTGCTGTGAAAAATGCTCACTTTATCAAAATTAGACTTTGCAAATCCAGCCCAAACTGGTACCTGAAAAGAATCTGCTCTTTATCCCTTATACATCAACAATAAAGATTTAAGTTATTTGACAATTTGCCTGGAAGTGTTTTAAGTGGAATAGAACGCAGCTTGCTTTACTATAGCTGTATTGTTGAACGTTTTGATACGTGTACATATATATGGGGTGGATGAGGAAACTGACGTTTTTATTTGAATGTTATATTGTAAAACCAAATGAGAGGATTTTACAACTGCTGCCATTTAAAATGAATAGAAACTAATTGCTTTATGCTTTTTTTTCCAGTGATAGTAACATAATTCTCCCTTCCTTGTTTGAAAAAGCATGAAATGAAAGGCATACTTGTTCAAAAAGTGGATTCTTATTGATAGAATCACAAAGTAAAATTAACAGTTCTTTTGAATGGACAAAGCAATGACAAACATTCAGAACCAGCCCACCAGCCACATGCTTTTTAACAAAGCTTATAGACTAAGGGTAACATTTTCAGAGGTACCTAAATGTAGATGCTGTAAAATTTTGTCTTGTAATCTACAACAGAAACGCTTCCCACAAATGTCTTCGGGTCTTACACCGAAGAGCACAGCGTGTTCCATAATGATGAATCTATTGTCCCCTTCCTCCGCCATGCCCGACACACATGTTTATGTGTGTAACTGGTCTGTGGTGGAATGAGGAGATAGATCTGAATCTTATGAGCTTGATTATACTTAATTGATATTTTAGACTAAATTTTGTCCTTTGAGCTGGTAGTGAGTCAGTTGACGAATGCACTTTCAACATTTCTCTTGCTTAGCTCTGTCCAGAACAGTGAACGTGGCAAGAAAATTGGAACTGCCATGGTCAATACCAGCCGGAATGTTATGCAAACAGGAAAAGCCGTAGGTAAGAAATTTGTCTGTAACCAGGTTGAAAGCGTGTACAGCTAGCTAGATACTGCAAGCATGATATGCCATGGTTATTTAATAATAGAGTATTACATTTCTAGAGTGCATTTTATCCTAATGGGCTTTACAGATCTATCTACCCACCACAGAAATGCAGCCACCTCTGGCTGGGGGGAGGCGGGAAGGCTGGCAGACAAGTTGCTAATTGGGACACAGCACAATACACAACAATAGGACAAGGGGATATTTTAGATAAGGACACCGGAGTAAACTTCTGTTTAAAATCCAGGCTTTGCCCAGAGTAGATATCTGTTTTTTAAGGTTTCAGATGAAAGATTGTTCATCCTCAGTAAGTGCCTAAACTATTAAGCGATACACTCCAGCAATAACAAATTATTCTCATTTTGTGTTTCTCTGACAGTGCCTGATCTAAAGACCATTGAAGTCAATAGAAAGGCTCCCATTGACTTCAGTAGACTTTAGATCAAGTCTATACTGTTTTGATTGTCCAGCATGACCTCATCAAGTGGTGAAAGAGAACACAAGGCCACCAGTTAAGGAGCCTCATAAGTGCTTGTTCTCTTGTGGCTTTGCCAAAATTCTTGATTATTCAGAATGGAAGTGATTTGCCTGCTCCCTCTTTCTCTCTTGGAGCCTCCGCTGCCACTGTTCTGAGATGAACTTGGGCCCTGAGAGCCTTTCGGGCTGGGACCTGAAGAGGCAACTTAAAGACTATAATTATTGCTGGTTAGCACAAACCATTTCTTCTAAGATGCCAGCTTTAAATTCTTTGAGTGTATCTGGGTATTTACATTTTAAGTTGCAAATTAAACTGCTGAGGTGTTTGTAATCATTCTGTGCTGTCTTTTATATGTTATGGTGTATATACTATCTAGAAAAATCATATTACACTTTCATGAGTAACTTTTTTCTCTTTTTTGTTTGTTTATAATGCAGGTCAGTCAGTAGGAGGGGCCTTCACAAATGCAAAATCAGCCATGTCTTCGTGGCTTTCCACTTTTACCCAGTCAACACAAGGCCTCGGGGACTAAAAGTAGAGTCTGAATACAGACTTTGCACTCTGCTGTTGAGTATTTCAGTTGTATCAGTTTCTCTCAGCTGTACAAAGACTGCTCCAAAATGAGGTATGGAGACTTCTTAGTCATGGAGGACCAAAATGCAGTGTGTTTGTTTACAGAGAAAAATGGAATGGTTACCCTTTGGTTTTACTAGAAGTATGAATATCTCCAAACAGAGCATGAAGAATGGCATGTAAAGCTCTTTCACAGTACATTAGTTGTGTTTTTAAATGACTACTTTTGTTTAAATCTGAGCCTTTATACTTTAGCAAACAGGGTTTGTTGCAAGCAAAATGATAGGTTTGAATTCAGATTTGTACATTGTGGATGGTGATATCTATGTAAATTAGTTGTATTTTACAATTCAAATAGTCAAACATTTGCTGTAATGTTTGTTAGGATGAAGCAGTATAATAATGCTGATTCACATTTTAGGTTGGATCTGAGGGCATGTCTGTGAACTTAATGATGCAAGCCACATTGAAACCCTTCTTAGTTAAGCTTGCTTTAAGTTCCAAACTAAATTCAACACTGGTGTAGATTGAGACTGTTTTTGATTTGTGACTTTCTTTCCCCCCATCATATACATGTATTGTATTCATCTGTATCTAACTTTCTTCTCTGTACCTGCAGACATGAGAGAGTAGACAATTGTGCAATCAGTTTTTTTTATATTGTCCTCACTCATTTCATAGGGCAGAATATAAAATCTCTTTCCTAACACTGAATAGTGTTGCCACCATACTTACCCTAGGACATAAGAGAAATCTCTTCCAGCTGAAGAGATTTCTTTACATCATTCTTTAGGGAAAATGTCAACAAAATAGTTGGCTCTCTGAGATCAAAAATTAGAGGCCATAGGCAACTCTGTGCAGACCTGCTCTACTTATAAATACAGTTTGTGTGTATGTGCGTATGCACACACACTGTGTTAAAACTGTCCCGAAAACTAACACAGTAGTTAACAAACTCTTGAATTCTTTTTGTTGCAAGGCAGGCCATGAAGACCCTTATGAGTAAAAATTGGCCAGGTAGAAGACTCTTTCATTTAGTCAGGGAGTATCCATTTCACAAAACTGTTTTTGCATGAGGAAAGAGAGGCCTCTATTTTAAGAATAACTGAAGCAGCTGAGTCACAACATTAAATAAGATAGCATAGCTCTTTGTACTACTTGGTGTGATACTCCTGTATTTTGTAGACATTCTGCATGTGTTGTAATCGGTATAGGTATTTATCCTAAAACTGGAGCATTTCCTGTTCTTCAGACCTGAATCTTTACTATTACTTCCAGTGATATATGCCTGCTAGTACCTTGATATGATACCTATTAACATACTTTCAAATTTGTATTTTCTAAATTATATTAACAAAAATTCCCACGTTAAATAGTGAAGAGATTCTCATAGCATGAAATCATGACACCACAAAGATCAGTGGGAGTTTTGCCATTCTCTTCCAAGGGGCCAGGATTTCCCCGCACATTTATCTTGGACATCCCTACTCTTGTAGTTCTGTAAGTAGGCATGGGCTAAGTTGGTTGGAGCTTCCACGAGCTTTTCACCTTTCATTTTTTGGGGTTAAACGAAGAGAGTATCTAATGCTCCTTATGCAACTCTTTACATAAGGAATTAAAATTAATAACTTGTATTTGAAAAGCTGTTGAAAGCCATGCTTTCATCGACCAATTACTTTTCCGCCAACTTCTCTGTTCCAGTGTTGTTGTTGTAATTCTATTTTTAGCTTTGCTGCTTCCCTTTTAACAGTCTAAAATAACATTATAGCTTTTTTTTTTTTTTTTAAAGATGATCAATTTGTTAAGCTAAATTACAAGTAGAAAAGCCATGGATTAAACTGAAAGCTTACAGCTACATGAGTAGTTTCATTTGAAAAGCAAAGCAAGTAACATCTCTAGAGAGCTGTACAATTTGTTTTTTTTTCTGCTTGTCACACCAGCAAACATCTACCTTCTACTGAAATACAACTGGCACATACTAATAAGTGTAAACTTTGTTGCTTTCAGACTGTATATATAAATTTTGTTCTGTAACTTCTGCTGCAGTACTTGGATATTGTTCAGCTCCCTGTGCCCTCTTGCTTTCTTTTGCATTATTCAGTCTTCCCTTAATAGATGCTTTTATCTTCATAGAGCCTGGGGCATACCCTATGCCACATGCATATCTCTAATAGAGTTAGTTTAGGTGTGTGATCAAAAAAGCTTTTCTTGGTTCCTAATTAGCGTCTACAGAGTTTTCCAGTTTAGTCTGGAGATTAGAAAACAGCAATTTGCTATTGGGAGACACTTTTGTGAAGCAGTAAACAATATGTATACTGTTGGCCTGTCTCTCTCGTAGTTGAACTTTTTCTTATAGTAAAGGCAGTCTGTGGCCTCTGGAACTTGAGCACCCATGTTGACCACCTCTGGGACTTAAGCATTCTAGTGCAGTTTAGGCTAGGAGCTTGGCAAGTAGCTAGGATTTACAGGTACAAAGCGTAGAAACGGGGGCACTCTTCTCTGTATTTTTTTTTTTTAATACCCTTGTGTCTCTCTGCTATCCCTCCTTCACTTTTCTTCCTTCTGACCCGATCCTGTGTCTCCCCTTCCTCAAGAACAGGGGCTCAGAATGTCTGAGGACTGCTCAGAGTTCTTTATTCTGTGTTGTTTCTGGTCGATATTCTCTGCAACAGCAGGCACGTGCTGCTGTGTAGTGGGACTTGCAGTACTCCAGGATCCTGCTGTCATTGGCAATCATTGTCTAGGACAGGTGCTCAAAACAGCCTCTCCCTCCCCACAATCTTGCCAGAGTTATGGGATTAGGGGTACAGGCTTCATCAAGAGTATTTTCCTTTCTTCTATCCCTCAAAAGTTGATCCAAGATATAATACTGACAGCCTTCATTTCTGCCCCTAGGGTGAATGATGCGCACGAAATAGGAGGAAGCTATTGTAGTATATATTCTTTTTAATCCTCTTTCAGATGAGCTTCCTTCTAGCAATTTGGACAGAATTTTCAGACTTATTGCAGTGGCTGTAGGTGAAGTGATTATTAGCATTTATGCTCATTTGAACAGCCACCTTAATTCCTTCTGGGCAGTAGAGCATGCAGCCACCAAAATTAACAAACAAACTATACAAATGAATAAGTCCTTAAGCTTTCTTAAATTAACAGTTGTAGTAACCACTCTAGTAAATCTCAGACAAACTCCAAACTGTGTTTCCACCCTTCTATTTATTTAGATGTCTTAAATCCCCAGTATGAACATAAAACCAGTCCAAAGAGACTAACGAAGAGATACCTCATCTTGAAGAGTTGGAGTGCCATTTCTTCACTACCTAGTTTCTGGGCCACAGTATAACTTTGAAGACACTGCCCGTAATGACTGAGCTGTGACATTGTCGTTTAGCATGTCTGGATGTCACTCCACGGTTTGGTGGCTGTTTGTGATTCCTCTCCAATATTTTCTCTCTTCCCACTTCCTGGCTGCGTGAGTGCTCTTGTATGTGCCAAAAAGCATGGGGAGCTGTCCTGGTGATCAGACCTATAGGATATATATGAATCGCATACAAGTCCTAAAGAGAGAGACTGAGTACCACTGACAGTGAAATTCTGATGGACTCAAATGTTCACCTTTCTTTCATCAGTCACTTGATGTCATAACTATAAAATTTTTGCACATCTGACATTAGATCATCTTAAATGTTACTCCATTTTAATAAATAGCATTTGAGAATCAATCTTCTAGTGCAGTGGTTCCCAAACTTGTTCCGCTGCTTGTGCAGGGAAGGCCCCTGGCGAGCCGGGCCAGTTTGTTTACCTGCTGCGTCGGCAGGTTCAGCTGATCGTGGCTCCCAGTGTCCGCGGTTCGCTGCACCAGGCCAATGGGAGCTGCTGGAAGCGGCGTGGGATGAGGGACGTACTGGCCGCTGCTTCCAGCAGCCCCCATTGGCCTGGAGCAGCGAACCGTGGCCAGTGGGAGCCGCGATCGGCCGAACCTGTGGACGCGGCAGGTAAAAAAAGCAGCCTGGCCCGCCAGGGGCTTTCCCTGCACAAGTGGTGGAACAAGTTTGGGAACCACTGCACTAGTGTATTTCCCTCATTTCACCTTCTACAGTGTTTTAAGCATTGTTGTAATTTAAACTTAATATTTTACCTAAATAAAAACTTCTGATTTCAGCCAAAAAATTATTATTAGCAGATAAACTGTTCTGTGGAAGTATTTAATTGTAAAAGTGAAAGTGTAAATGGAATTTTTAAAAATGAAAACCTAGTATTTGATAACTCTACACTCATTAAAAATCACAACCAGATATAGTATATATGTGTGGCTTGGAAATAAATAGATCAAGCCTGTTTAAAAGCTTTTACTGTCTGCTCAGAAAGCTGTTTTATTGGAAGAATTTATAAATACCTATAGATAAGTCATTTAATGAGATTAATACTTGACACAGATAGTTGTCCATCATTCAATGACTGATCTTAAGCCATTAATCTCTGAAACTGGTGAAATATGAAAATCAACATTAGTTTTACTGATTATTCTTGTAATATCATAATGAGGCCAACTTGTGAGAAACTGTAGCTTATAGTCCATTTATACTAACTACTTGGTAAGAGATTGCTTTTGCAGATTTGGGGTAATAGGATAGTTCAGTGTGACTTTTTGAAATGTAAATACTTGTTTCATCTATTTGTGAGCTAGTATTTTTTCCCCAAGTTTCCAGAAGTGACTGAACTGTTACATCTCGTCAAGAGCTTTCCACTGAAGAGAAGTAAAACAATTTAAAACTAGATACAGCCTCCTAAAAGTTAACTTTAAATTAAACAGCCTCATAAAAATGTAGAGATTATTGAGCATTTTAAATATCTTGTCAAATGCAGGAGGCTCCAAGTGACTCTCGGCAATCAGTACAACTTGCACTGGGTTGGCAGCAATAATGTTCTTCCCCCTCATTTGCTTTATGTAACATTAAGGGTGTCTTTTTGTTGTTGTTTTTAATTTCTTCAAACATGCTGAAGACTCTGATCAAGGTAAATCTTGAAGCCATTCTCAAATATATAGAGTTTTGATAAGTAATTCGTTTCCATTAGGAAGGGAAAGAAAATAACTCCCTTGAATAACAACTTCCAAATCTGAAAGATATGCATGTATAAATAAGTCTAATATTTTGTAAAATTGTGTTGCCTTTGTATTTGTCTACCTTTCTACTGACTCTCTGAAAGAAAATATATATTTAAACTGTGTAAATGACAGGGTTATAGCTTGTTTTTTAGTATATTTATAACTGATCTCTTGCATGTATTATTTTTCATTATTGCACATTTCAGAAATGTAGAGAATGTGCACCTATCCATTTCAAGCCAGAAAAAAATTCTGCACTCCATTACAATTCCCAGTATTTCAGGTTTTCATAGAGAGTCCCTTCATGGAGATATGATAAAGTGCTAAGTTTTTTTAATGTTAATATGGAATAGAAATTAACAAAAGGGCTTAAGTGACTCTCCGGTTTTTACTGTTTGAATTTCTTCTTTTATTTGTTACCAGATACACAGGAAGTAGTTTATTAAAGAAACATTCTGCAAATTGTTATAAGAATTCAGTGTCATTGAACAACTGTCAATTTAAATCTGATCACTTTATTGGGTATAAAGTAATGTGTGCTGTAGTATGAACCAGTTACCATGCATAACATCTGATCATAAAACAGTTTAGTATTCTTTGCTGCTATTGTAGACTTTGTAATTTTAGCTAGACAGTTTGTCAAATCCTTTACCTCTGTGACTGTTTTAAAATCAAATCATTGCCTAAATCATATACTGTGTTGAAATGATTCCATTGTATATTTTGTTCTAAAAGTGATAGAAAATAAAATTGTTCTGTTTATGCCCTTCTTGAATACATTTTACTTGTATTTATGAAAGCACATGTTCTTATAGTTCAGGTATAATTACTGTGTGTCTTTGGCAGTAGTATAGGTCTTCTATTAAATCTTCTTAACTTGTCTGAGTCTACAGCTTACCAAGGAAATTGTTTCTTTCTGGAGCCAGTCCAGCATGAAGAAAATTAAATTTTTACTAGGAACTGCCACCCAGCCTCCCTCCCCATGACTAATATCCTGTTGTAAATGTTTAGATTTCTGATGTTGTGTCTAAAGGTGACTGGAGCAAAGTACCCGTCTTCTAAACTTTAGTGTGCTGGTCTTCCCTCAGCTTTGCCAGTAATGGCAAAAAAGAGGTTAAAGATGACAGATAGGAGCCAGAAATAATGCCTGGTGAATCTCCAAACGTAAACATGTAGTTGTGTTGCTGTTAGTGTCGAGCTTTAGCTTACTCTAGTCAAAGTTAACCTTAAACCTCAGATGAGATCACCTCTACCACCACCTATGCCCACATGCATACTTATACTTCACATTTATTTAAAAAACACCGTGCAAATGTTAAACTTCAGTACGCTTTGGGATCATTAAGTAAGATTGTCATTGGGTATTTAAGGTAACTTGCCTGAGGGTATACAGAGCTGGGATTAAAACCCATCAATACCTGGTTTCAAGGCTTTGCTCAGTCAGCACATCAGAGTTTCTCATAGAATGGCAACTTTCTTCTTTTACAGCTGAAGAATAATTTACTAGTTTGTTTTTTGCAACTGCTGCGGTGTTTAGATAATGGTATTTGGCTGCATCTGTTCAGTACATCTAGTGCTGTGTAACATCTGACTTACGTTCTTCAGACGACTTAGGGAAAATGAACCCTGCATGTAGTACCCATACTAAGCAGATGCTATTTGACTGGATATTCAACTGACTGTGATACAGTTTTATTTATGTATGTATTTTATGTAAGATTTTTAGCAAAATGTTTCACCTTTTAAAGCACTAGCTCACTTGTGTCTTCAATTGAATAGTCATAATTTTGTTCTATATTTAGAAGTGTGAATGACACTTAAGTACTCATTTGCTGAAACAAGGGACAAGTAAACAAATTTTGCATTACAAATAACACCAAACCAACCACAAGGTTTGCTGAGCTTAAGCAGTACCATTATCTCTACCATTCTTTTTGCCATCCTATCTCTCTCAGGGCACAAGGAAAGGAGAAAGCATTCATCAGTATTTCCATTACTTCATTCTATTGGCTCATGCATCCACCCCTTCAGATTGTTTGTCACTGGTCCTTTATCTTTCTCCCAAATCTGTTCTCTCCTCCTGATCCTGAGATCAGTGTAGACCCAGACTATCCCATTGCCTGCTTTTTCAAACTCTTGGTCAGTCCCATAAGAATCTGCCTTTGGGAAAAAGAAAAGGAGGACGTGTGGCACCTTAGGGACTCTGATGAAGTGAGCTGTAGCTCACGAAAGCTTATGCTCAAATAAATTGGTTAGTCCCTAAGGTGCCACAAGTCCTCCTTTTCTTTTTGCAGATAGACTAACACAGCTGCTATTCTGAAACCTTTGGAAAAAGTACCTGACAAAGTGAGTCTGAACTTTTGTTTTATTAAACTGACACTTGAGATGCATACATACCTGTAACATCTGTAGGCCCCTTTAACTGTGCTCAGCCAGCCGACCACTCCTTTTACCACAACAATAGGCTCTTTTAAATAAAACCTATCTTTACTACCTAATAGCATTGGACTCCTGGTTAAGTACAATTGGAGAATGTTAAAATCATCTGAGCCAAATTAAATACAACATTTCATATCTAGTCAATTGGAAAAACAGTTTCAGGTAGTACTGCTGCCCTACAGTTCCACTGCTTCTATAATCACCATTTTCAAACTGTTATCTTTTCCCTGTTGACTCCAGATAAACAAGGGGAAAACTGGCCATACACAGGTGCTGTTAAACTCGTAAAAGAGGGAAAAAAATCTAGCCTCATGGCTAAAGTAATCTTTTTTTGTTAAGCAACAATCACTGGCAAGTCTTTGAGATGGTTTTGGGTTTTATGTAGTGGGTATCCTATGACGAGATTACCATTAGTGCAGATCTGACATTGACTTGAGGAGAGGAAGAATGACTGTAGAGCACCATCTCATCTGTTATCTTCCTGCATAATATTTTTCATGTCTTAAATGATTGCACTGCTCTGTAATAAGCACCTGGTGTTTAAGAGACATCTTATGGCTGACCTGGCTCCTCAGACTATAAGCCCCTGTGAATTGAGACCACATCTTCCTCTTTTCTTTACCAGGCGAAGTAGATTGTACTGCCCTAATTCTACCATTTGAGTATAAATTCAACTTGCTTTAGGCTGTAAAGCCTGGTAATTATAAAAAATAGGTGATTTTTGTGGCTTTGGCCTTTCCTTTATTATACTTGGCCAGGAAACGTGATAGGATGAAGTTTAACAGGAATTAAGAACTAGGAAGTGCTCCCTGTAAAAACAAATATAGTTTTTTGCAGATATAATGAAATTTCCAGGGGATACATGCCTGGCTTGTGAAACTCATTTTCATCTATACACATACTTTTGGGAGAGAGATTACAATGTGTTCAGTATTATGATGTTAGACTGAATACTAATAAGATACTTTTTTAGAATGTGCAAGCAATAGTCTCTCAGATCCTTCCCATCTCTCTGCAACTGTGGGTCACAACTGAGGATGTCAAATTCAGGACAAACTGCTGAGAACTAGGGCAGATACACCCCAATATTGGTGGCTAAATCCCCACAGGATATACCAAACCAGCAACAAAAGTAAACTTCTGCAACAAAAGTAAACTTCTGTTTCACTACACTGGCTAACAAGAAGTCAGAAAAGCAGTTTCCTTAGGCATTCCAGTTCTTATATAACCACCAAAACCACTGGTTTTAAAGAACCACTCACCTCTAAATCCAATCTCTTCAAATAAAAGGTTCTTCTGACCCAGGGGACCAGCCACACACCCAGGTCAATATATAACTTAGATCTTACCCAAAAATCACTGATGCCAATCCTTTAGTATCAAAAGGTTTATTCATAAAAAGAAAGAAAGGTGAGTTAAAATTGGTTAAAGGAATCGAACACATACAATAATTGCAAAGTTCTTGGTTCAGGCTTGTAGCAGTGATGGAATAAACTGCTGGCTTAAGTCAAGTTTCTGGCTGCTTCCAAATCACTGGAAGATCCTCAATTCCTTGGTTAAAATGCTTCCATTAATCTAAGTTAATAGTCCAGAGGCTGAAGTGGAAGAGAGGCTGGAGCAGGATAGAGGCAAAATGGAGGGGTTTCCAGGGCCTTTTATATCTTCTGCCATGTGGAGGGAAACCCATTATTTTTCGAGTGCTTGCTCACGTCCATTCCAATTAGGTGTGCATGCGTCGTGTGCACGCGTCGTGTGCACGATTGTTGGAAGGTTTTTCCACTAGCAGTACCCGTCTGTGGAGCCCACTGGAGTGGTGCCTTTATGGCGGTGTATATCGGACCTTGCCGACCCGCTGCCTGCTCTACTCCTTCTTAGTGCTAGTGATGGTTGTTGGAGCTCCTTGGTCTTGCATATTGCAAGTGCCTACTTAGCCCTCTTTCTTCAAATAGCTGTTGTAAATAGTTACCCATTAGTGTTAATTAGTTGAATAGCACTTAGCTGGGGGATCTTCCCCGATTTCCCTTTTCCCCAGACCGGGGCATGCCTTGGGCCCAGGGCTTTAAGCCCTGTGAGAAGTGCCTCAAGCCTATGCAACATGGCAATCCGCACAACTCCTGTCTCTAGTGCCTCCGGGAGGGTCATCAGGCAGATAGGTGCAAGATTTGCAGGGGCTTTAAGCCCAGAACAAAGAAGGAGAGAGACTCTAGGCTGAAGCTCCTCCTAATAGAAGCTGCACTTTGCCCACAGCCAGCACTGGAGCCAGCGCCGGCAGCCTCGGTGGGCAGAGCGCTGGCATCAGTGCGGGAACCCTCGGCACGGAGGAAGGACTCCAGTAAGGAGCATCAGCACTGTTCCCCAGCCCCAAGGCCCGGCTCCACCTTGCGGCACCATTCACAATAGCCGGTGCCACATAAGAAGGTGGCGGCGGACAGGGGCTGCTTGCCGGCACAGCACACCAGTGGGGTGCGTCCTAGGTTTGAACACCCCAAACCTGGCCTGCAAGTCCCACAGCTGTCAAGTCAGGTGCAGGTGGACTCTCTGGTGCAGGAGGACTTGGAGGGAGAAGACCTCGATCTTCCCTTCACACTGGACACATTTGAAGCAGCATGGGATCTAGCCACCATGACTGCTCAATCTCTGGGCCCACTAGCACCTGCCATGGCAGCAACATCAACGGCTCCAAACAATGACGGCACCGGCACCACCCCCATCAGACATTCGGGCAAGCCCATGATGATAAGCCATTGCTCATCTTTGCCCCAGCACTGATCTCCGGCACCGTTGGGTGCTGCTCTGCCTTGCTCCGCATCTGAGTACTCCTCTGAGGCGAAGGTGGAATCCTACGCCTCCAGGCAGAGCTGGTACGGCTCTAGACGCTGGCCCCATTCCTGCCACCACTCGAGAAGCGATGCACCCCAACCGGTGCCAACAGTGTCATGGCCTCTCCAGGGGCAGGGGCCGGTGCAGTGGCCCTTCTGGAGCCCATGGGCCTACCATCAGGCCCAGGGACTGGGACCAAGGGTGACTTCGGTGGCCTTGGAACACTGCGTGACCCCATTGGCCACATCGGTCTCAAGGGATCTAGGAGTGCAGGCTGCGTCCCAAGAGGAAGACCTGGGGCAATCTGACCCTCAGATGGGAGCTGTCGCCCCACCCTCGGTGCAAGAAAGGACACCTGAAACTGCCCCAGTGACCACCAGGTAACTGGAAGGCAAAAGGACCCAATCACTCCCCAGGCATCTTCCTCCTCCTTACCCGATGAGGCAGTGGCAGGGACGACTACCTCTCTGCCAGCAATGGACACCAGGGCTCATCAGGACCTC